CTCGCGTTTGACTCGAATCAAAATATCTGGTAGTTATTGAAAAGAAAATAAGATATTTTCAAATATTTTCTATATTTCTTAAATAAAATTCTGTATATTAGTTACCACATATTCGTTATTTCCATATATTTGTCATTAAATTTTTTTAATAATTTTTATTAAAAAATGAGTTGCGATTAGATGAGACATAGTTATAGAGGATGTGTTGTTTTCAACTGTATTATTATTTTGTGGCGTTATTTTGTACCATCCAAAAATTTATACTACCTTCTGTTACCAATAGGATTCGATCGTATGTTAGCATGATAAAACTTGTCACCATTTTAATCCGTACGAACCTTTCGTTCGTTTGTAAATCAGACTAATACGATAGAAATCAAAGTTATCTATTCTCCACTTTGTCCTTCTCTAATTGATTCCATTATATTTTGTACTTACGGTAATTTTCCCTTATTATTATTACGATAGTTTTATATCAACCAGCACATTTTGACGTGTCTAAATTACACTCTTTACCAACAAAAAGCTGACAAATAGCGCCACAACTGTTAAAGATGTGGAATATATAAACTTTCGATGACGTGTATGAAATAGTTGTTGAGCGGCACACAACCTCTAGACTGACTTTTGGAAGAGTTATAAATCAAAAGCCGGTTTTAAGACCAAATATCTATATGCGGTCCTCTAAAGAAAGTTCTACAATGATTCAATTTGGTCATCTCAAATTTATCTATATATAATAGCAATTTAAAAAAAAAATATTTGGATTGTGACTTTTCATAAAAAAACCCAGTTAGTAGTTATTTTCAAGAATTGCATTTTTCGATATAACCATTTTGTTAAAAGTTGTGAATTTCGATAACCGTTTTATGGTTATTCCGAGAGTTGTGACTTTTTGTAAAAAAAAAACCATTTAATCATTATTTTCAAGAGTTGCATCTTTTCGATATAACCAATTTGTCAAGAGTTGCGAATTCCGATAACCGTTCTAAGGTTATTTTCGAGGGTTGCGTCTTTTCGATATATCCGTTTTATACTTGTGTCTTTTCAATACGGTTATTTTCAAAGGTTGTGTCTTTTTGATATAACCGATTTACGGTTATTTCCAAGGATTACGCTTTTTCAATATAACCGTTTTATAATTATTTCCAAGGGTTGTGGTCTTTCAAACAAAAAAAAAACCGTTTGGCCTATATA